AAAAAAAAAACAATACAAATGCTTTCAAATATAAAGCCATGAAGGCTGATGCTTTATTCCCAACACTGTGCGTATCTTTACTGTGATACGCAGAGCACGAGCACGGTAATGGAGAAAACGACTGCATTCCTGAATTTCCACGGTATGGTTTTCAACAGCAGTGTTATCCCCAGGCAGCCTGACCTCATCCCCTACCAGTCCTCAGAAAGCGAGGGGAAAGGTCGCACCTGCTTGGTACCGGGCTGGGAGAGCCCCGAAAAGGAGCTGGTTCTTCTCCACGGACCAGAACTCCCGAACCAGCACCTCCAGCGCGCTGACCTGTGGCCCTGCGCTGCGGGAGGTGGCGCGCTTCCCGACGAGACGTCGCTGTTATCCGGGGCTAAATTACACAGTGAGCTTGTACAACTCGACCTCCCGGAGTATCCCCCTAGACTTCGACTAATGAAGCCATTTATCACTTCCCCACCCGTCCAGCGGTACGGAGGCGTGCTGTGCGCTGCCCAGGCAGACGCTGTTCTCCAGCAGTGGGGAGAAGTGTCCTGTCCTATAGGTGGAGGCACTGTGGGGTCCTTAAGGATGGGAAGCAGGGTGCAAGTAAGAAGATTACAGTACAGCCAACAACGTTTTTTCATTCTTCTTTCTTTAGACAGCAGTTACCAAGTTCCCTTAGACCTGAAGAACTATTATGGACCGACTGTAATAAGCGTTCTCAGCATCCACACTTGTTGAGTGGCACGCGGAGCCTGTCCCTTCCATTTCTGGTCCGTTGCTGCATTTTAATGACCAGCATTTCTATGGCTGCCATTACCGGTGGTTCTTTTCATATCTTAATAAAAGGGAGCGGCCAGAAACATAGACGCCCCTTGAAAAATGGCTTCTACTAATGGGAGGTGGAATATGGTAATATGCTGAGTGTTTTTCTTCATTTTTAACATGCTTAAATGGAAGAAAATCCTAACACGGACAACCAACTTTCTGTTTACTGCAAGATAACGGATGTGCAATTCTGAGGACAGAGATTAAATAATTCAAACCCCGACCACTTTATTTTAATTCACCTTCTGATTTATTCAAAGCTTTTTAGTTAAGAGCATGCATACATCGGCGTTTATTCTTTCAGACAAAAAAAAATAATAATCCGAGCTGTTTAAAATACTACAATGCAGCGCTTTTCCG